AATGCTTCAGCAAGTGCAAAGCCGACCTCGACGCGTTGCCCTCGAAGTTGGATGCCCAGATCGTTGCCGCCGTCATTCCGAAGATCGACGAGGTCAGACGTGAGCTCAACACCCGGTGTGACAGCCTCAAGATGGATATCATGGCGGTTGACACTCGTGTGAACCTACAGGACAAGCTCTTGCGTGAAATGCAGGAGCAGATCAAGCAGCTGCAGAGTGCCCTCGCTGTCGCCAACTCGACGACTCCCGCACCTCGACCTGCTGCTGGCTCGGACACCTTCACACGTGACACCAATGAGACGATCATCAAAGTCTTTGCGGGCAAGCTTGTCGCCAAGTCCGCTGTCCATGACGTGCTGGCGCCCTGGGTCGAGGAGTCTGGCGCCACCTCGGAGCAGTGGGAGCTCACGGCCACGGACCCTCTCTCGAAGTTCTTCACCCTCCAGCTTAAGGGTGCAGTCGGCCTGGCCGCGCGGCGGGTTCAGAAGTTGCTGGCCTCCTTGCGCGTCGGCAACACGTGGCGGGAGTTCAACGTGGAGGCGCATGCTGGGGGACAGGCGAGGCGTCACCTGTCCCAGGACAAGAATGCGAAGCATATCAAGACGGAGGTCATTGGCAGGAAGTTACGCAGCAAGTTCGTGGAGCTGTATGGCGCCAACCAGCGGGTCTTCTTCGATCGGGATCGAGGCTGGCTCTCGTTGGGATGGGATGCGTTGTGCAAGCTCGAGTGCTTCCCTGGCCGTGAGCCGACTCGCGTGCTGTGGAACCCTGGCACGATCAGCAAGTATTCGGTGCCGAAGGACAGGCTCGTCGATGCGGTCAAGGATATCATCGAACCCGAGCGAGAACCTGAGTGGTGCCTTTAGCCGTTTCGCTGCGCTGATTGGCCGCTCGTCTGTCCAGTTTTTGTGTGATGCCACTGCAGCCAGTGGCCTGCGTCTCGTCTCGTGCCCACGCTGGTGTGAAATTGGGGTACCTCCAGAGGCCCCGACTGGGCTCGTCAGTCACCGCCCTCCAGGAGGTCCACCAGTGCGAGGCCCAACTAGCTACTTTCCTGCGTCGTGCGTTGCCTGAGGCTGTTATTTGTTCGAGCTTCTGCGGTGCCGACCGTGCGGGGAGGATCCGCGGCGGTGTCGCTACTGTCGTTCCTGGTATTTTAGTGCGAGGCACCTCCTCGCCGACGCTGCCTGCTGGCGGCACCCCTTCCCTGAGTGTGCTCGTTCCTGGTCGTGTCATCCGTGTCGCTCTGCAAAATCAGGACACCGCCTTGATCCAGCACAGCATTCACAATCATGATTTATCTTCGGGACACGTTAGCGATGTGTGCAGTGTGTGTGTGCAGTTAAAATAACTCGGGGCCGGGCCCTTTCAGAATCTTCTCCTGAATCTGCGCCGCTTGTCGTGCGTGGCGATTTCAACTTTGCGAGCGAGAGAAATTGAGCTTCTCGCGGCCATCGGAGGCTCAGGCCCAGCGGGCGGCCCGCCCCGCGCATGCACGGGCGTCGCGGTGGGCGGCTGCTCTCGACTCTCCGGTCGAGATCACCCCGCTCGAGGCCACTCACTTCGTTGCGCATGGCAGCGCGGCTGCTGCTATCGACGGGTTCTGTTGTGGCTGGCCTGGATGGGTTCTTGCTCAGGTGCACTCGCAGGCTTATGTTGAGGGGTCTCCAGAGGTCCTCCATCGGGCGAAGATCAGCGACCACGCCGCCTTGTGTGCTTCCTTTGAGCCTCAAGAGCCCGCTGAACGCCCCGTGCCTAAACATCTTTGCCGCACAACAGAGTACAAGCAGATACTTGCAGCCTTCGTCGAAGCGGAATCTTCGCACTTGCTTGCAATGTGCCCGCCGAAGAGGCTCGAGCGGTATAAGGAGTTGCTGCAGGAAGCGAACAGGGAAGCGAAAGATGTCCTGATGTTCCGCCGTCCGACGGACCCACGTGCGTTGTTACTTCTGGCCCGCTCTATTGCGCGTGCGATCTGGCGCCAGGACGTACCGACCGCCTCTCGCCTTCTTCGTTCGCATGCTGCCGCTGCTGATTTTATCTGCGTGGAAGGCGCGAAGGTCGTGCTCGTCCACCCTGCTTCCTTACAGCGCTTGTCCAACGAGGTGCAACTGAAGGCGTCGAACCTCGATCGTGCTGCTGCTCGGTCTCGTTTCGAACATGCTAAGGGTGAGGTGTTCGACATAAAGAACGTCAGATTCTTCAAGCTATCGAGAGGAGGGCCAGGATCTGGGCACCGTTCGCTCGCCGTCTTACTCTTCGTGCCGTCGTCGTTCGTGGGCAGAGCTTCTCGGGCTTGCAAGATCGCCACGAAGCCTTGGTCTCTCATTGGGGCCCTGTCTTTGCTCGCCAATCCTGGGCCGTCAGAACTGCCGGCGCGTGCTGCGACCGCTTCGCCCAGGCTGTCGGCTTCTCTGATTGCCCGCCGCCTTCGTTCGCGTTGCTGAAGAAAGTTGCACTTCGTGTCAGTGATTCTGCCCCAGGCGTGGATCGCCTCTGTTATGCTGCGCGACTTGCTCACCCGTTTGGCCCCATCACGCCGCGCGACGCTCTCTGGTGGACGATGGAGGGGGATGGGGTTTATTTGGCGGAGAATATGACATTGCAGGCCTTTCTACCGAAGGGGGGCGCTTGACACTGACGCGCGGGAAGGGGGGATGCGAACGGGAGGCGTCTGCTGTTCGTGTGCTTGGCTTGCGCAACACGAGCATCAAGCTGCTCACGGCCGCGGTTAACGTCGCCTTCTGCATGCCGCTCGCTCGTTTTGTTCCGCCTGACCAGAGGGGATTCACGAAGGGGACACATGTTCGCCAGACTTTGGTGGAAGTGGACGTTCTGTCTCGAGTGCATTCGGCTCTGCCCGAAGCTGATCATCGTTGCCCGCTGCTGCGCGCCCTGGACTATGGCCAGGCTTCCCCGGGTCTCAATGAGGAGTTCGTGCTATTGGTACTGCGCAAGATGGGCTGTCCCTCCCAGCTAATCTCGTTCGCGTCGATCTTGCACAAGGTGATCGAAGGGGTCGTCTTTGTCCAGGGATCGCTGCTGCGCGCGTTCTGGATCCGCTCGGGTATCATCCAGGGCTGTGCTCTCTCGGGGTCTCTGTTTGCCGCCGCCTTATCTCCTGCTCTTCGTGACACCCACCGCTCGTTTGAGGCCCCCCGTCGCGGCGTCAATCGCGCGTGCGCTGATGACCTCGGTGGTGCCATCGATGATCTGCGTCTTTTGTCACCGCTTCGCCGCGCGATGAAGGTAGTGGAAGCGTCGGCCAACCTTTGCCTGAAGCCCTCCAAGTGTGTCCTGGCTCCTGTTTCGGGCCCATTTACCTCGGAGTTTTTTTTTAGAATAGTAATAATAGTAATAATAATAATACTGATATATATATATATATAAACGTGTCCAGGACTTCCTGGAGACGTTCATCCCCGAGTTGGTGTGGCTTTTGAGTGGGATCTAAGCTGTTTTACTTGGGCCTCTGGATCGGGCCTGCCACTCTTCTGGCTGATTCCTGGTGTCTTCCGAGGGGGAAGTTCATGGAACGCGCTGCTGCGGTGGGTGCTGGTAACACGCCCGCATCGTCGTCAGCTGTTTTATTCGATGCTCGCTGCGCGCCTGTGTTGAGCTACGTGATGCAGTTCCTCCCACCGCCAGCTGACCTCCGTGCAGCGGGGCGCGGCGCTCTTGCACAAGCTTTCCGTCTGCCGCTGGGTTCTTATCGTGAACGGGACTGGGCGCAACTGAAAAACTGGCACGGGCCCAACGCGTGCCCCCTCGAGTTCGCATGTGCTGCTGCGCGGGCTCGCATGGCGATCGTGACTATCCCCGGGTACAAAAAGATGTTCGACTCCCTGGTGCGCCAGACCGACGCGCCTCAGTCCCGTGAGCTCGATCTGTGTCGTCTCACTGTTCTTCCAGCAGGCCGTCGGTGCCCTCCTCACCGGCGGCGCCCGTCCTTCGCCGAGATGCTTTTTGAGGCGGGGTCCAGCGCGGACGGCACCCTCCTCGCCACTGCAGCTGCTGCTTGCCGAGCCGCTCCGCGCAAGCACCAGCGGGCGGCCAAGCTCGTGCGTCTGTCCTCCCTCTCCTCATCCGCTCTTGAAGTTCACTACCAGCAGCGTCTATTGAAGTGGTGGCCAAAGCGCAGAGAGTGCATCATGAATGTTGATTGGGAGGCTATCCGTGTGGTCCTGCGGTCCGCTCCCCCATCCTGGGCCTGGGCTCGGCATCGTACCATGTGTGGCGGGTGGCTCACCTCCCACAGGACTCTGAATGAGCGTGGGCGTCTAGGGTGCGTTTTCGGCTGTGAACATCAGCCCGACAGGCAGGCTCATTATGCATCGTTTCGACGGCTCGCTTGGTCGATCTCGCCGGGGATTCGCTGTCGCTCTTTGTCGCCCGACCCTTTACAAAGATGGTGGATCCCGAGTTGCACCATCGCTGTCCTCGAAGAAGTGTATGTTGCCCACCATGTCTACCATTATCTTCGTTCTCTGCCCTCCTCTGTCCTGTGCCTCCCCTCTACCAACCTCAATGCCGCGCGCGCTGCGCTGCGGGACCTGCGGCTGAACGTGGCCCAGTGCTCCGAGCACAGCCAGGCCTAGTGGGGGGGGCGAGGACGATGATACGCTGGTCTCCTCTCTCCCCTTCCTCATCCTCCCCCCTCTTCCTCATTCCTCCTTTTCCCCCTGCTCCTGCTCCTCCGCGGCTTGAGCCAGACTGGTCCTCTCTCGGGGCCCGAGCCGCGGTCCTGATTCGCAATTAAGACATGTCATGCGCACCGTCCTCTTACAGCCAGAGGTTCACCGCTCCAACTGCCGTCCGTCAGCTGTGCGAGATATCATCGCCCACGGCTGCGCGTTTTTGAAAGCAGTAGTGAGTGCAACGCACCAAGACAGAACAGATGTTGGCGCTGAAGGTGTGCGCTTCGTGTCGCCTCCTCCTCCTCCTCCTCCTCCTCCTCCTCCTCCCCCTCCTCCTCCCCCTCCCCCTCCTCCTCCTCCCAGGCGGAAGGTGGCGGGTGGAGCTCCCGAGCGGAGCGGTGAAGGCGGTGCCGCCCCAGAACTTGGTCGCCCACAAGCCGGAGGCCGCTGCGGGGGCTCCCGAGAGGCGCCCCGGGAGCGTGGGTGGTGGAGGGGGAGGGGTGCGCGCGCCACCACAGGCATCCTCAGACCTTGAGGAGGACAAGGAGGAGGAGAAGGAGGAGAAGGCAGAGAAGGAGGACGAGGAGGACGAGGACGAGGACGAGCAGGACGAGGAGGATGGGAGGGAAGAGGGAAGAGGGAAGATGGAGGAGGAGGAGGAGGAGGAGGAGGAGGAGGGCAATCGGGGGCCCCGCAGCGTTGTAAGGCACGAGGGTGCCACGAGTGAGCTGAAGAGCAAGCGCCCTCCTTGAGTGAAACGCTTGCAACCTTTCAATACGAATTTGTGCGTCACTACGGCGAGAGCATCAGTAAAAAAAACCAGCCGCCCGACATCCATCCGTGAAACTCTTGCAAACTTCTAAGACGAGTGTGCGCGGCGCTAAGGCGAGAGCCACATGTTGAAAACGAACCGCCCTCCATCCGCGTAACAGGTGCACATTCCAAACATCAGCATCATACGTGGTGGGGAAGTCTCAGGCGAAACTTCTGGCCCGCACTGCCGACACGTCTGGGGGTGCGACAGGGTGGAATTTTTCATAAGAGGCAGGGATGCAGGAGGAGGGGGAGGAAGAGGAGGAGGAGGATGAGGAGCGAGGAGCGAGGAGCGAGGAGTGAGGAAGAGGGTGAGCTGTCGCCTGCGGGGGCGCGCGAAGGTGGCCCCGCGTCGCGCGTCGTGGTGTGGGCTGGAAAGGTGCCTTTCCCCAACAGGGCTGGCGCGAAGGCGCGGAGATGGCCGCGCTTCGCGCACCGCGGGGCGCGGTGCAGGGAGTCGGGCGGCCGAGGGTGTGAGCCAAGGTCAGGGCCCAATGGGCCTGCGGAGGCGCCCTTGCATCCCTCGGTGTCCCTGGGTGTTGGGTTGCCTCGGCGTCCTTGGCACCCTGATAGGGGGCCACATGGGAATCCGACCCCTACCCCCCACGATTTCTGAGAGGGGGGGGGGTCACCTCGTTCGAGCGAGGTGAACCCCACCCTCCCCTCAGAAATCGTGGGGGGCAGGGGTAGGGTTCGCATGTGGCCCCCTACCTGGTCGTCAGGACTTTCCCTGCCGTTATTTGGGTGCCTCGGCCTCCCCCGTCCTCCCCCCCCGTGACCGACCTCTCGCTGCACGCACCGAGCTCTGGGCCACGGTTGCCCGGGGGCGCAAGGAAACGGTCACGCCTGAGGTTTTCGACCTGCAGTCTGGAAGCTCTCCCCCTCCGCTCTGGAAGTGCCCTTCCTCCGCCAGGGGTTCCTGGAGGCTCCTGCAGGCGCTGTGTCACAGAGGCAAGGCGTTTCTGTTCGGTGGGGAGCCTGTGGAGGCCAGGTGGTCAGGGAACGGATCGGTCCGTGGGCCAAGGACCGAACCTCTCTCCCTGATTCAGGTCCGACCTCTACTGTGGAGGCTTTCTTCCCCCCTCCATCCTGCTCTGCTCCTCCGAGGCTCGGCCTTCGAGGTGCAGCTTGCTCGACCCTCTGGGAGGCCTGCTGACGGCCCGCCCCTCCCGCCCCCGGAGGGCTCCAGCTGCGCACACGCCGGGGGTCAAGAGATGGGGGTCAGTGCAGACGGGGGTCAGCCAGAGCGTGGGATCTTGCAGGATCCTGCAGAACCTTGGCCGCATTGACCCGGGCTTGGGTGCAGGATCCTGCAGGATCCTGCAGGATCTTGCAAGGCCCGACTGAACCGGGTTCGGATCGACCCGGGTCGGGAGGTCCCCGACCACGCGCCCATTTTGGCGAGACCAATCCTGGGCCCCGGACTGCCGTACACGCGCCCTCACGGAAGGGCGGGGAGGGCACCTGCGCCGATCCTGGGCCCAGGACCGGCCTCGCCAGGATCGGTGCAGGTCTGCAGTCGCGGAGTTGTCCTCAGCACCCGTGTCCTGTTTCTTCTCCCCCAGGTGGGGCGGCGCGAGGGCTCGAAGCTCTTCGTGCTTCTCGCAGCGCGAAGCGCGAACCTGGCCGCCCTTGTTCTGGGTCTCCCAGATGGGTCCGAGTAGATGGGGTCGGATCTCGCCGCATGGCCGATGCATTGGCGATGCGGCTCGATGTGGAGCCCGATGTTATGCACCGCCAGCGTCGGCGATGCATCGGCGATGCGGTGCGATCCTCCGACCCCATGTGCTCGGACCCCCATCTTGGAGACCTCTACCCATCGGTCGTTGAAAGTTGGTATTTCTGGATCCCCTGATTCCAATCTACTACTATAAGCGCCTCCCTCCTTCGAGGACAGGGTGGGTTCCTCCTTCCCTCCTCTGCAGGGGGCGGGCGGAGGTCCAGCCTACAGTGGAAGCCCACGCCAAGAAACACCCCGCTTGCCTCCAGGGTGCCCTGGGTTTCTTCGGCTCCGACGGTGTTGCATTGGCACGCGTGGCGCTCCCACACCAAAAATCAATGCACGTCCTGAGGTCTCGGGGTTGGGTTTCTTGAGGAAGGTTTCTTGTGGTCGAGCTTCCACTGTACTTCCAGCGCCTTCCTGCTTCATGGCTCTCCCTACTTTTTCCGACCGATGGGTACCTCTACCCCTACACCGGGCGCCCTCGGGAGGCAGCTGTGGGACAGTTGCCTCCGCTGGGCGCACTGCAGCGCGCTGGGCGTCGCCGTGCAGGCGGGCCCGCCCGCGGCCTCGGCCGGCCCCGCCGCTCCACCGCCGCCGGCCTCCGTGCCGCTGCTCGGCCGCCGAGGGCCGCCGCCGCCGGCTTCGTCCGCCGTCCGTCGTCGTCCGTCGTCGTCGTCCGTCGTCCGTCGTCCCTCGTCCCTCGTCCTCGTCCTCGTCGTCGTCCGTCGTCCGTCGTCCGTCTTCCGTCGTCGTGGTCATCGTTGTCGTCCTCGTCTTCGTCCGTCCTCCTCCTCCTCCTCCTCCTCCTCCTCCTCCTCCTCCGTATTCGGCGTCGTCGTCCGCCGTCGTCGTTTTTTTTACTCGTCGTCTTCGCCGTCGCCCGTCCATCGCCCGCCGTGGTCCGCTGTCGTGCGCAGGGGGGCGTCACCCTCGTGCGCGAGCTCTGCCTGCAGAACTTCGTCCACTGGGGCGGCGCCGTCCTCTTCATGGCGGGCGCCGTGCAGCACGCGAAGGCCTCCGTGGACCTCTACGAGGCGGCCGCGCGGAGGGGCGCGCCCCTGCTCGGCCGCCGGAGGGTGGCGGTGGCGGCGAGGGCCCGCCACGCCATCCTGAACTACTCCAGCATGGCGCCCGGGAGGATCACCAAGCGCGTTCCACTACTCGCAGAGTGCCTACGCGCAAACGTCCGAAAAACAGGTGTTCGCTTCGATGAGATTTATCGTAGATCCCCCGCGGCGGATCCAGGCCATTTGCGAGCAGTTACTTTGCGAGTAGCGGAACGCGCTCGTCTAGAGGAGGGCGAAGCGACCAGGGGGCGCCGAGACCCGCATCCTCCTCCCCTGTTTCAGTATCGTTTCACCGACCCCCTATCCCCATCCCCCTCCCCTTCGAGACCCCCACCAAATTGCCCATCTAGGGGGGTAAAGCGGCCAGTGGGGCCCAGGCCACGCCGCTGGGGATGGGGATCGGTTGAACGATGCTCACTGTTAGCGCTTTCTCGGAGGGCCGGCGCGGCGCGGCCCGCGCCGCCTTCGTGCGCGGCCCCTCCTGGCGCGGCCCGTCCTGGGCCCAGGGGTCGGAGCACACGAGAGGGCGCGCCCCGTGGGCCGCTGGCAGGGAGCGGGGGCTGGTCAGGGCCCCCCCCCCCTCTCCCCTGGGAGGGGTTCCGACACGTTGTCGTACACCACCCCCGCTCCCCTCGCGCCGCAAACGGCGACGAAAAGACAAAAAGACGATGACGACGACGACGACGACGACGACGACGACGACGACGACGACGACGACGACGACGACGACCACGACCACGACCACGACCACGACCACGACCACGACCACGACCACGACCACGACCACGACCACGACCACGACCAGGACCACGACGACCACGACGACCACGACGACCACGACCACGGCCACGGCCACGGCCACGGCCACGGCCACGGCCACGACCCGCGCGTGGTCGTTGTCGTCGTCGTCGCCGTCGTCGTTGCCGTTTGCGAGGGAGGGGGAGAGGGTTGTCGAAACCTTCGCTCCCGAGCCCCTCCCTCCCCCCATTTGCGGGGAGGTGGGAAGGTTGGGGTTCTGGGCATGGAGGGAAGAGGGGGTCCCCGTTTCGGAGACCTCGCTCCAGACCAGAGTGAGGGGGCCGAACGGCCTCACGTTGTCCCAGGGTGCGTGGCTGAAGTGCGGGTCCGCGGTGCGGACTCATGCTCTTTTTCTCGTTCCCAGCCCTGCCCTGCGGCCCACCCGCGACCCACCCACGACCCACGTCGCGACCCACCCACGACCCACTCCGCGACACCCGCGTTCCACCCGCGACGCGCAGCGCGATTCGCCCGCCGACCCGCCGACCGCCCGTCTGCGACCACTCGCACAGTTTATGAGTTGCACACTGGTTTGAAGCAGCAGCTCCTGCAGTGCGCCCCTTGTGTTGAAGCATCGGTGCCTGCGAGGGGCTTCTTCACATCTGCTTCCGAGCCTCGCAAACTGCCGACCCCCCCCCTCCCTCACTGCTCTTATCTGATCTTATCTGCAACTGCGGGGCTTGTGGCATTGTCCAGCCAGGCGCCGTAATACGCGCTTCCTCGTGTATACGCCGTCTGACTTGGCCAGGAGGCACGTACACGGGTCCCGTGCCCAGGACGGGCCTTGCCAGGGGCGATGCACATTATGATAGTTCTCGACGCCCGGGACAGGGTGGGTCTGCTCGATCGGGGGAAGCACCGATCCACAATCGCCCATGCATCGCCGATCGGGGGGCCATGTGTCCCCGATCGGCAGCCCAGGATCATGCCGTCGTGCGCCCTCGGCGGGGTCCATTCGCCGAGCCGTGGGCGGCACGCCGCCGGTTCCGGGTCGGCGCCTCCGTGCCCCCCGCTCGAGCCAGTGCTCCCCGGCAGCTGTCTGGCCATAGATTATTTCCCGGATTTCCGAAATACTTTGGGACCAATCGACCATCGCTGTGGGGCTCCTACATCTGACTCGCAGGCCGGAGGCCCCGCCCCCCCCCTCCTTGGCGCCCTCCCTCAGGCGCTGTTCCTGCTCCCGCTGGCCCTGCAGGCGTTCCCCGCGGCCGGCCCTCCCGGGAGAGGCACGACTGCCGGGGGAGGCGCGTCGCCAGAGGTGGACCCCGCGGTGCTGAATGCCATGGGCGTGGTGCAGTGGGGCATCATCCAGCCTGCGCCCTCGCGCATATCCGCCGCCGCCGCCGCTGCAGGGGCCGGGTCGCCGGGGGGACCACCACCACATAATTACCAAACAAGGGGTGGGGGCACGGCCGATCATGTGGAAACGGTCGACCAGGGGGGGGTAATTACCAGTATTCTGTTCAGTTTCATATCAGTAACCACCCTCATATCCCTCCTCCCTGTTTTCCCCTACTCCTAATCCTCCTCCTCCTCATCCTCTCCTCTTCTCCTCATTCACCACCGTCCTCGTCATCGTCATTCCCCTCTGCGTTTTTCGGGATTCCTGGTCGCCTAGGCTGCGGACTCCACGGCCCCTGGGGATCTGAAGCATCTTTGAGTTTTGTTTCCCCCCACATCCTGAGTGGGGTTCTTGTTCTCCCAGAACATCCTCTCCTGCCGTCCTCCTCCCGCTCCTCCTTTCCCTCTCTGCTGCTACAACGACTCCAACGACGACGACGACGACGACGACGATGACGACGACGACGACGACGACTACTACTACTAATACTACTACTACTACTACTACTACTACTACTACTACTACTACTACTACTACTACTACTACTACTACTACTACTAACTACTACTACTACTACTACTACTACTACTACTACTACTACTACTACTACGACTACTACTACTACTACTACTACTACTACTACTACTCTACTACTACTACTACTACTACTACTACTACTACTACTACTACTACTACTACTACTACTACTACTACTACTACTACTACTACTGCTACTGCTACTACTACTACTACTACTTACTACGACTACTAGACTTCTATTACTAACTACTACTACTACTGCTGCTATTACTGACTACTACTACGATTACGACTGCGACTACGACTAGACTAGACTACGACTACGACTACGACTACGATACGACTACTACTACTTAATACTATACTACTACTACTACTACTATTAATACTACTACTACTACGACTACGACGACGACGATGGCTACTCCCACTGCTACCACTTACCACTACCACTACTACTACTACTACTACTACTACTACAGCTACTGCTACTACTACTACTACTACTACTACTACTACTACTAGTACTACTCCGACTGGTACGGTGAAAATTACAAGTACAGCTACAACACTACAACTACTACTACTACTACACTACGTACGACGACGACGACGACGACTACTACTACTACTACTACTGCTACTACTCTTTTACTACTACTACTACTACTACTACTACTACTACTACTACTACTACTACTACTACTACTACTACTACTACTACTACTACTACTACTACTACTACTACTACTACTACTACTACTACTACTACTACTACTACTACTACTACTACTACTACTACTACTACTAGTACTACTACTACTACTACTACTACTACTGCTACTACTACTACTACTACTACTACTACTACTACTACTACTACTACTACTATACTACTCTACTACAATGCTACAATACTACTATACTACTATACTATTACTACTACTACTACTACTACTACTACTACTACTACTACTACTACTGCTACTTACTACTACTACTACTTACACTACTCTTACTACTAATGACTACTACTACTACTTACACCACCTACTATTACTTTACTACTACTATCACTTCAACTTCTACTTCTATTTACTTCTACTTCTACTCTCTACTTTATTATTACTTCTACTTCTACTTCTACGTCTACTTCTACTTCTACTTCTACGTCTACTTATACTTATACTTATACTTCCACTTCTACTTCTACTTCTACTTCTACCTCTACTTCCACTTCCACTTCCACTTCTACTACTAGTGGTTCCGATAGCGTCGTCGCGGTGGTGCGGACTTTCTTGGAGGGGTGGGGGAGCACGCAACTGTGTAATAAGCGTGTGGTTATGATAGTTGTAGCGGTCGTAGTAGTAGTAGAAGAAGAAGAAGAATTAGAAGAAGTAGTCGTATGAGTAGTAGTAGTAGTAGTAGTAGTAGTAGTAGTAGTAGTAGTAGCAGTAGTAGTAGTAGTAGTAGTCGTAGTCGTAGTCGTAGTCGTAGTCGTAGTCGTAGTCGTAGTCGTAGTCGTAGTCGTAGTCGTAGTCGTAGTCGTAGTCGTAGTCGTAGTCGTAGTCGTAGTCCGTCATTCATGAAGATTAGTGCGAGTGCTCTCCCTCCCACCTCCGCGACCGCAGTTGTTTGGGTTCAAACAAGGTGCGGCCCGTGCGCAGGCACGCGATCCGCGCCCGCGCGCGGGCGATTCTTCCGCCTGCGGGCGAGACCCCCCCAGGGGGAGGCCCGCTGCCGCGCGGCTCGCGGCTCAGCAGGAGGAGCCGAGGATCCCTGTCCCCTGTCGGGAGCGCGAGCCGCGGCAGGCGGAGAGGCGTTGGCCATGGCGCCCAAGGAGCGGCCTGCGGCTGCAGCGCGGCGTGGCTCGGCCGCGCTGCGCCGCCCAGCCTCGCTGGCGCCGAGGGCGGTGCGAGGCAAGCGCAAGCCCGACGGCGCGCGCGGAGGCCGAGGCCGCCCCCGCGGCCACCCGCCACCGCGCCCCGACGGCGGCGTCACCAAGCCGAAAGGCGGCGGGTGCGGAGGGAGCCGTGGAGGCAGCCGAGGCGGACGGCGGGGGTCAGCCTCAGGGCTCCGCCAGTCTGCTCTGCGGCGCTCCCGCTCGGGAGGACGTGGGTCGCGCAAGGGCGAGCACCTCGCGCCTGGCGACCGAGCGGCTGCTGGCCTTGATGACGACGACGACATCGCAGCCAACTCACGTCACGAAGCGGGCCGCCCAGCTGGTGAGCGGTACCAGGGCGAGACCTGGCCGACGGCTGCCACGTCGGGCCCGAGGAAGGGCCAGCCGCCGATCATCGAGGTCGAGATGGACGGGCTGGCGACGTTCAAGGAGCTCGGACAGGCAGCGCAGGACGACGGCACGGTTCCCGACCCGATGCACGGCGAGCCCCCGCCTCTGTGGGAGGCCGCCTACATGGGCGCGGAGAAGCCCGCCCAGCGGAGGGAGCTCGGCGTGGCGTTCGACGATCCGGTGAGGACTCCAGTACTACACTTCTGCTCGGTGGCGGTTCATGCCGACGAGCGCCGCCTGGGCGAGGACCTGGTTGACGCGCAGGTGCTGCGCGTGGGTCGCTGGCGCTACGCCGCGCTGCCGTTCCGCGGGTACGCAGGCGAGGAGCTCACGCGCGACCTGGAGGGCCAGGCCATCGCGGACGCCAGGCGCGCGCAGGGCAGGCCGGCGAAGCGGAGCTCGCCCCCTGGGCCACCCCCTGGTCATCGGGGAGAGCGCGGGACGGGCGCCGACGGCTCCAAGTCGGACGCCCGCCGCGAGGGGCCTGGAGGTGGCGCGTCGGCTCGCGCCCGCGATCGAGGGCTGAGCGCGCGGCTGGGCGAGCTGCGCGAGCGCGCTGCCCAGCGCGGCCGCCCCGCAGGCAGGAGCGGGAGGCTGCGGGCTGCGCCAGCGAGGATCCGCTCCAACAGTCCCGAGGACGAGGGGGAGCGAGGAGCCCTGGTCGAGGCAAAGAGTGCTGAGAGGAGCCACTCGCCTCGCCGGGAAACGGCCCGCGACAGAGCGCCCAGTGCACCTGCCGAGGGCCGCGCCAGCCTCAGCAGCAAGATCCTGGACAAGGCCAAGTCGAGAGGCACCAGCTCTCAGCGCGGCAGCTCTGCAGGCGGAGGTGGAAGCTCTCGCGGCTCGCCTCCACGCAAGGCGAAGCGCGAGAAGAAGAAGAAGCGCCGCGAGGAGTCTGACGGCAGCGCGTCGAGTGAGGGGTCGTCGTCGAAGCGTTTTCACGACGCCCGCCTCTCCGCGCACGACAAGGCCAAGCGCCTTGTGGAGAGGAAGCCTGGCGTTATCACGGAGCGCGCCTTGACGAAGATGCGCAGCTACCTCGTCAGCAAGGGGCGCGCGGTCGAGGACGACGCGGCCCCGCGCATGCTGAATTACTTCACCAGCGTGTACCTGCCGAGCTGCCAGGGCAAGCTTCACGCTCGCAACGAGCTCGAGATGCGCACACTGGCAACAGCGGTCGACGCAGTTCTCGAAGCCGATCTGGGGACTGCCACGGACGTGCTGACCCGGCAGCGCAAGTCCATCCATCGAGCAGCTCCACGCCGACGGGGGCACGTGGAAGGTGGCTCGGCATGCCTCGGTGGTCGGCGACGGTCGCGTCAGCATCGCGGACGATCGCGAGCGCGAAGCCTTCCTCAGGGGCGAGAAGCGGGACATGCACTACCGCAAGCTGGAGGGCCAGGTCAGGTCGAACCGCGGCCAGTATTGACAAACGCCCGCGCGGGGGCCGGCAGTGATCGGAGTGCCCCCGCGGTCAGGTTCGGAAGGCCCTGGAGGAAGCCGCGGCGTCGAGCTGAGGCCAGCAGAGCGGGGGGTCGGCTCTCGAGAGCGCAGTCCCGCAGGGCGTGTCACACTGACGCCAGCGAGAGACGCGACCTCGGCCGACCGCAGTCCCTCGGGCGACAACCGCGGAGGAGACAGGGCTCGTTTCTCGGAGTCCCCGCCGAGGAGGAAGCTGTGCAACCCTGCGAGCCCTGCGGCCCACGTTGGATCGGGCGGGGAGGAGTTGCCCCAGGAGGGCGATCGCGATCGCGCACCCCGCGGCGGCGCACGGCAGGTGCGGACCCCCTCGCCGCCGCCGAAGGCGAGGCCCAAGGGCAGAGGCAAGGGCAAGCCGAATGCCAGGGCAGATCCAGCGGGAAAGGCAAGGAAGGGCTCGGGGCCAGGCAAGGGCAAGGAACCAAGGAAGGGCCCCCCTCAGTATTGGTTCGCCCTTCGCCAGGCCAACAAGAAGAAGGGCCGCTGAGGGCCCCCCCGCCGCCGCCTCGCTCGCGCCCATCAAGGCGAGGCGAGAGGCGGCGGAGACGGACCAAGCTCGGGCGCCTGGCTGCTCCACGCCAGCAGCCCAGCGCGGTAGCCAGGCGCGCCCTGGGCTTGAGGCCCTTCGAGGGCTGATCGATCCAGCCGAGCTGTCGGGCCT